CCCCCCCCCCCCCCCCCACCCCGCAGGTCCAGAATGCTCCCGGAACTTCACCTCCAACAGCGGTGTCATAAAGTCACCCGGTTTCCCAGAGAAATACCCCAACAACCTAGACTGCACTTTCATGATCTTCGCCCCCAAGATGTCCGAGATCACCTTGGAGTTCGAGAGCTTCGAGCTGGAGCCCGACCCGACGCCCCCCACCGGCGTGTTTTGCCGCTACGACAGACTGGAGATCTGGGATGGCTTCCCTGGAGGTGAGCAAGTGCTGCTGGTTACGGCCGTAGTGCCATTGTGCGCTTTTTATTTGTCAAACTACCAGAAAACATCAAAGCTGTGAAAAAATAACAGCTGAAATCCCACTGCTAAGAAATCCGCTATCCTGCAGAAGCAAAAGAAAAAATAGAGATACTTCTTTTCTCACTGCTTTTTTGAATGAACAGCTTTACACAAAATGACGACATTATCCGGGCCAGTGGGCTAACTGCTTTAACCAGACTTGGCAGGGGTCCAAGAGTCTGTCGGCATGAGCGTAACGCTTAGTCATCGCTCAACACCATACACTTTCTGGTTACGAGAGCCTCCCGTCCTTCCTTTTTCTCTCACGGGCTGCATTGTTCAACTGTTCATTTGGGAATCCAAGGTCTAATCTAGGCTATGATATTTTTGCTTCTCTGACGCATAGAAAACTGACTCTGAAAGGAGATTTCCTTCAGAGGCTTCCTTTAGTTTCCCTCAGGAGAGAATTTAAACTAAACCAGCTTGGTCCTGATGGGAGCGAAGGGCCCGCAGCTCTCGCACAGATTCTGACACACGATAAAACATTGCCAAAAAATAGCATTCTCGAATCTGCAGGTGAGAGACAGGGTGAGAAAGGGAGCGCTGTGTTCAAAGCGATGCCTCCACGGCCCCCGAGATGAGGCTTTGAACTCAACGAGCGAAATAACCTCTTGAAGTTTTGCAGTTTTTCTCCCGGCCATTCAAACGTGGGGCGTGGACGAGATGAAAGCTTTTTCTCGCCCATCAGCAGCTGAAAATTGAAAGAACATCAGTATTCTCCACCGCGCCGCTGCAAGTGATAAGGTTGAAGTGTAAATCATCGCGCCTTTTCAAGTGTGTTTACTCGACGTTCAATATTCTCTGAGCTCGCATTTCCGTAGAGTTGACCTTTGATTCCAAGAAGTATTTCCATAATTCATTTTTAGGTTCTCTCCTGGAGGTGGTTTAATTTTCAAGATTTGTGTTGATTAAGGAGACCCGCAAAAGCTTGGGGAGCTGAGAATATGTCACATTATTATCACCTTTTAATACATCTTTTTTGTTACAAAAAAGTACCTCGGGAATCTGGGAGAAAAAAAAAGATTACCGTGCTACTTCCGACTTTTTAAAATTCAGGGATTTCTCAGTATGTATGACACAAAAGTAGCAGAATAAGACACACCGGAATCTCTTTTGTCCAACAGCGAGCCTATTCACTGGAAACTGCCACTTCGGACTGACGTGGCATCACACCATTCAAGTGTTGTTGTGTGACAGACAGCCTTGTATAAAAGAAAATAAGCCAATGCGAAGAAAAAAGTGTGTCAGCTTCCGCCAGGTGGCTCTCTGTGGTGCCTGGATCCTCCCATCCCTGCACGCCGTCAGGGCGTGCAGGGATGGGAGATGTCTGGGCAAATACGGGCCCGCGTGGAAGAACTGGAGTATTCGCGCCTCGCCGGACAGGTGCTGTGTAAGAACGGCCCCCACTACCTCGTCCCTCTTCCCATGAGGAATGGAGAGCCAGGCAGGACGCAGACTTCATAGCGAGGCTCTTTAAAATTTCATAGCGCTGGGGAGTCATGCAGATAATCCGGGAGATGGCATTTTTATGTTCGGCCAGGGCCTTAGCAGGTTTAAAAGCACACATAGATTCTCACGCGAGCACCTGGGTGAGGAAGATTAATCGGAGCTATCACACCCCCATCACACTCCCCTTTACCCCGTGAGTCCCCGCTGCCCGGCCTTTGCCTTTCATGTATAAGAGCTGGGCTGAAAGTGGCATGTTTTGGATGACAGGAGGCCATGGGAAGGCAGGCCTGTCACTCGCCGCTGATCACAGCATTACTAATCACAGATAAACTGCAGGTCCTCACACACACCGGCAGTAACACTCACGCTCACACTCACACATGTGCATGGATCACAGCGCACATCAGAGACACAGGGCAAGGTCACTGTGCTCCCTTGCCCCTCCCCCCCGCACCCCATCTTACCCAACCCCATGTTTCTCCCATGCCGCTCTATCTCCCCCTAACGTCCCTCCACCTCCCGTTCCCTGTCCCTCCCACTTCCTCGTTCCACTCAGACTGCTCAGTGGAACATGTCCCTCGCTTTTATTGCTTTCCCTCTCTCTCTCTCTCTCTCTCTCTCTCTCTCTCTCTCTCTCTCTCTCTTTTGATGCCCCCCACACCCTATTGTCTCTAACCAGTCTCCTACACCAACTCACTCGGGCGCGGCTGTGTCTTCCTCAAGTCCAAAAACAAAATAAAACGGCGAAGGAATTTACGGCCAGCAAATAGACAGAGACCGTGACCTGCCCACACCACAGGTCCCTCTTTTGCTCTTTTTGTGCCCGACAGGCCGAGCAGGAATGTCTTTTCTCAAGCGTCTTTATGGTGTCGGGTAAAAAAACAACTCATTGACACACTAGTTTTCACACATCCGTGGTTGGTAGTTAAACCCTTGTGTGACATGCCTGTGGCACACAAACAAATATTGAGTCTAACCCAACTAACAGTGTTTGTGCTTCTTTCCCCTTTCTCTCTCCAGTCGGTCCATACATCGGGAGGTACTGTGGGCAGAACACGCCAGGCAGGATCATCTCCTACACGGGCATCCTAGCACTGACAATCAACACCGACAGCGCCATCGCTAAGGAAGGCTTTTCGGCCAACTTCACCGTGATCGAAAGGACCGTTCCGGAGGGTGAGCTGGCATTAAAAACACTGAAAATCAGACAGATGGGGATGTAAAAAATATTACTAATATTACTAAGAATAAGTAGCAGATGTTGTCTGCAACTGAAGCCACAAATGCTCCCATTATGACAAATTCCCACCCGTTTAACAGAGCTGAAGAGTTATTAAATAAACACCTACTGCTTTTTCATTTGGGTCTGCCTCCCGTGGTTTACAAGACCCACACATTTACACACTGTGAGCCCAGACGGGCTCCAAAAGGCAGCTTCCCCACCAGCAACCACCCCAGACACACAACCCCTAGGGCTTTTACATGCAGCGCCGTCATCGCGGGGCTCGACCCCCTGACCCCATTCTGCAAAAAGCTCCGGCTAAACATTTCATTAAGGAAGACGAGCACTGTTAGGAGTCATAAATCTGTCCAGGGGCTAGACCACCCCAAGCGAACACAGTCAGTCTTTGAATACCGATGGAGATGGATGACGTTCAACAAACCGACTAATCGTCTCCAAAAAGGTCTTGCCCAAAGGAAAAGACAGGCGCTGAGCACACACACACACACAAACAGCCCCGCCTCACAGCAATGAGCGATGACTACTGGTGTAATTTCTCTTCAGTTTCCTTCCGAGTTACTTGACTCGCTTTAATCACACATCTAAAATCAGATTACGTAAAATCACCTTTTCACATTCCCCATTAAGAGGCATGGTTAATTATCTGACCCCTGATCAGTAAATATCTTCATTTGCATGAGTTGCTCGGTCTTACGTCACCGAGCGAGACGCAACCCAGATAGCAGAAAAATCTCCAAACTGGAAGCTTGCGCTCTTCCACTCTTGTACCACTTGAATCATTCATAATCCCCTTATGCATAATACACGGTGGATTTTCTCGCCTCCGCATGGCAAAGGGAAGGGTACCACTCGAGCTGAAAGCCACTGATGCGAGGTGATAAGGTGATGAAAGTAGGCCTTGTCTTTTGTCTTTGCCCGTTTCTCTGACTCCCCCCCCCCCGCCCGTCCAACCCCCCTCGCTATCTTTTCGGCTATCAGCCCCGCTTCACTCGGTAACCCGCATGATCAGATCCTTAGCGGCAAACAAACGCCCCTTTGTGTCTCCGCTGATCATGATCCACTTATCTACATGATGTGGGCCAAAAAAAAGAATGCAAAAGTTTGACGAGAACGGGTTCAAAGAGAGCCGGCAATGTCGAGGCCGGAGACGTGCAACACTGTGTTCTCGGCCTCACACTGACACTCGGGCGCAGTCACGAGCGCGTGCACGTACGTACGTACGCGGCCGTGGGTCGACACCGCGAAGCACAGAAGCACACGCTGACCCAGTGACTGAGGTGTTTTAGCAGTGTGGCAGATGGGGAGACCATCTGTGTTAGCTCGTAGGCAGCAGCCACATTGCAGCTCCACACTGCTCCCCGTCCTGTGCCCTCTGAGTGAGTGTGTGTGTGTGTGTGTGTGTGTGTGTGTGTGTGCGTGTGTGTTCGTGCACACACAGGCACATGACTGCATTTTTGGGCAAAGGGCCGTGGGCTCATGGCAGCGGGAGCCTCGCAAACCGCAGGATTTGAAACACTGTTGAGGTGCTTTGTGATCGACTTCACCATCAGGCGGAAAAAGGAGTAAATAAACAATAAGAAGAGTGATGGTCCACAGGAATGTGTGAAAGTGTGCTCTTACACACCTCTGTGTCGTTGTGGCGGCATTATACGACTCCTGGTCGGATCAAAAGGTCATATCGTTTGTTGCAAACGTTGCGGCGGCTCCGTCCTCGGTGGTGTCAGCATGTCTGACCTCCAGGGGTTTAGGGCTGCCGACCCCAAGCTGACCCGGGTGAGTCTTTAGTCCCGGAGCCCGGCATGCCTCAAAACGGCTGCCCCATGTCAACACAAACAAGGGAAGCCACATCCTACCAATTCTGGTTTGGCCATTGAGTGTGATATATTGCTCCATAATACAGCTACTAAACACACCTAAACTCCCCCTAGAGACCAAGTTGGGGAAAATAGTCACTGTGTGCAAAAAAAAAGAAAGATTAACGGCCCACAAGGAGGTGAGGGAAACAGATCCAGTCAGTGGAAGAAACAACTGGAGGGAAAGTCACTTTAACGCCTAATACTGGCGTAATCTTAGCCCACACTGAATGTTTTATGAGGACATTTTTACGCCTTAATGCGAAACACTTCTATCCAGCCCTCCATTAGAAACTAAAGAGGGAGAAACTGGGAGGATTTACTGAGGCGTTGCTGATGCGCTGTTCTTTTCCGGCTAGCAGCGCTGAGTGCCTGTCGTGTGGTGTCCTCCTCCCCAGAGACGAGCCCTGATTCCGGGGGACACTGAAAGCACGAGCTGGGTACATTCTGGTGCCCTCGGTGCTCAGGATTCGACTAACACATCTCTTTCATTCCCCTCAGACTTTGACTGCAGCGACCCTCTGGGAATGGAGTCGGGAGAGATAACATCGGACCAAATCATGGCCTCGTCCCAGTACAACCCCAGCTGGTCCCCAGAGCGCTCCAGACTCAACTACTATGAAAATGCATGGACGCCGGCAGAGGACTCCAACAAAGAGTGGATACAGGTACCACGTCTTTTTTTCTCATGTCACAAAGAGGTGATTTTCAAGAGGGTTGTTTGATTCAAATATCACAGAGCAATGACATTAAAAGGTAGTTTCAGTTCCGGAGGAGAGGTAGAGAATAACTGAAGAAAGTAAAACATGGCAGCGTAGAACAATTCCTGCCCGCGGTATGTTTTTGGCGGTGAGTCACAGTCTGAGGGTGCACGCAGTATTAGAAGTGACTGTTGCCTGCTTGAACACAGCAGGAGTGTTCTGTGTTTGTCCTTCAGTCTCTGGAGGTGCAGTGTCTCTGTAGCGCTTTGACGAGACCCAACAATTTCGATGATGAATGCCAGGCGTCCTGATGGACCTCAGGGCGGTCGAGTCCACGCCTCGCAATAAATTGCCCTTATCCACTCTCTCTATCTATCTATCTGTGTCTTTTCTCTCCCTCTGTCTTCCTGTCCTACCTGATAACTTCTCCAATTCTTTGATAACAGCGGCCGCCTCTGGGGAGCTGGGTTTAGTCCAGGCATCCTGCCCAGCCTCACACACACACACACACACACACACACACACCAAAACAGGGCCCTGTCATATTTTTCTCTCTGTCGGCTTATCTGCACAAAGCGATCATCAGCCACCGGGGGAACTTTATATGGAAAGATTAAGGATTTAGTTCTTCCATCCCCAGATGGGGATAAGTCACATATCCCAAGTCCACTCACAGCACGAACCCCCCCCCCCCCCCCCCCCCCCCCCCCCCCCCCCCC